TGCGCAATGACTCACCCCGGCCCGCGGCCGAGTCATGCGCGCGTGACTCTGCAATTGCCCGAGAGACTCCTCCTCCCAGCTAGCAGTCAGGCAGGTCGACTGCAGTTACAGTCAGGGCCCACTTTGCAGAATTTGAAAGTCAGCTGCTGGCCCTATTCAGATTACAGTCTGTGGAGTCAGAGTGTGAGTCAGGGGAGCGCATCTCAACGCCTGCCTTTTGCCGACCTCCACTTTGCGTTGCTCGTTGAGGACGCGAGCCGCAGTCCCAAATCGAGTCTGAATGTGGTAGATATGGAACTTGTATCGTGAAGGCGGAGCCAACGACGTAGGTGGCATTCGTGATTCGATTGATGAGGCTTGAGCATGAAAGCACGAATCGTGAATGAGACAGGAAGCGACTATCATGATCATCATGAACAAACCCTCAATTTGTGGGTTTTGTTATCCACGCATGGGCGGGACCGGCACCCTTGATACTCTCTTTGCGACATCCTGCTACTGTATCTCATAGTCTTTGTAGTTAGAAGCAATCGAATGTCTCATGGGTATCATCGCAGCCGATTCGCGAATGAAGAATGGAGCATACTTACCGAGTCAGGCTCACGGCAGCTCATCCAAAGGCATGGAATTGACCGCCACCTACTGACGATCGATCACTGATGAGGGACCCTCTGCGGCGAGCACGCGAGGCAAGCGACTTGCCTCGGCATATGACAAAGGAGCCGACACGAGGATGTGTGTACAGGAGATTTGGCGGCCCGTGGCGTGCCCAAGAGACACCGAACGATTCAGGAATTGCTCGAATGTTGGTCGAACGCGCGTTCGCCCCGATGTGTTTGCTGTAGCATGCTCAAGCCTCTGTGTCTTCAACTCGAGCACGGTGGAGCAAGGCCCCTCATGCGTGATTCTGCCAGGCCTGTGCTCCACCAGCTCATGTCAGCTGACAGGCCGACATCCCTTGGCCGTTCTTGATTGAAGCGCGTATCGAGTACGCGGCGCAAGTGATGGC